TATTTTTTATTTTATAATTTTATTATTTATATTATTTTTTTTGGCTTGGAGAGGGGCTTTGTTCCAAAGCTGGTTTCTGCAGTTCATCACAATGGCTTCCCTCATTTCAAATCCAGCTCAAACTCATGTCTGAGACCAATCCTTCACCGCCTTTTTGGCCGCCATAGCCCAGCCTCAGCCCCTTTCCCACTCCTGTACAACTCAATGGGACAATTTCAGCTGGTCCCCTTCCGTCTACTGAAAAAAATCATCATTAATTCCTGGTTTACTCCCTTAAAAGAACTCATTGCAGAAACCCACCTTCCCCCCCGCAGCAGAGGGGACAGTCCCAGCGGCACAGGGGATGGGGTGGCTCTGCCCACAGCGTCTTTCTAAACGGCAGCAACGCCGATAGGAAATTCAAACAAGACAGACAAAAAAAAGGGTCAGTTGGCTTTTCCGCGCTGTCATCAGCAAAACCCAAACTCCTGCTGAGATGCCAGCAGCTCTCACCGAGTTTTGGGGGTCCGGAGGGGTTGTAGCGGCTTGGGACCCGCTGCTTAAATAAAAGCAACACCGAGCAGGTTCGAGGATCCTCATCCCACCTCGCCCCGTGTCCTTCGCCCGCCTCGTCCCTCGCGCTCTCCTCTGTGCAAGCCGTGCAAGGGGAGCTGATGCCTGGAGCCATTATCGCTGCGGGCGACGCCGAGGTGCTCGTTAGGAGTTTTAATCCGGTTTTAATGGTCCCCGTATCGCTGGGCAAACCGCGCTGAGAGGGGTCAGGGTGCCGCAGGGTCACCTTTGCCGCAGCCTGTTTGCATCCCGCTGGACTAATTGGTTTTTGCAGATAACGGCGGGCACCGGCGTGTCAAACCGTGCGTGTGCCCCACGTGCCCACCCCCCCAGGGTGTACACACACGTCGGCACGCAGTGGGGCCCCCTTCCCCATCCCAACTGGGGAGAGACGCCCATAAATGGGGGGGTGTGGTGTGGTGTGGTGTGTCCCTGCTCCTGCTTGCAGTGGCTTTGGGTGCCAAAATGAAAAGCCAAAATGATGCCTGGTTGTGATGAAGGATTTAAGGGGCTAAAGGATGGAGGGTTTGGAGGGGGGATACAAGGGGGGAGCACGGGGTCCCCGGTAAGGTATCATGGTCAGCACAGTGTGATTGTCCCCCCACCTTGCTGGGTGACATATTGACATTAGATGATGTTTGCCGTGTCCTTCAGTCCCTGGGTGCCACCTGCCTTGGCCGGGTGCCCACCGGGGGGGACACGGTGCAGCGGCGGTCCCGGCCGCTCTTGGCACCGCGGGTGGGGTACGCAGAGGCTATATAAACCGCCGGGCATTTGCCCCGGTATCCCCGGCACGATGCAGTTCCTTGTGCTTCTCTGCGCTGCCTCTGCCCTCTCCCAGGGCGTCACCAAGTAAGTCACGGCAGCACCGCTCTCACGGGCCACCCGAGTCAAGGTGAAGGGGGGAAACGAGCACTCGGAGCCTTTTGATGGCTTTGAGAAGTGGAATTGAGGTCTGGGAAAGCTGCTGCAGGGATGCGGGGGCGGGGGCAGGGTGGGTGTCTGGGTCGGGCAGTGCTGTCTGGCTTCTAGAGGCGCTTTGGGGTTTTGCAGACTCAGTGTTTTGGGGCAGTCCGCTGTGCTTCTGCTGTTGGATCAGCATGAATAGTGAAGGTGTCAAACGCTGCCTGCAGGACCCGCAGGCAGCAAAATCCCATCTAACCTGTGTTGTCCTTGGTGTTTGTGCCAGGCTGCCCTTGGAAAGGGGGAAGAAGCTGAGAGAGGTCCTCAGGGAGAAGGGTTTGCTGCACCGCTTCTTCCAGCGTCACCGCTACGACATCGGCACCAAGTTCCTCCATGCTTTCCCCAACGGGA